TGAAATGTTTACCAGAGTCCAGAATTTTTTCTATTTTAGCATTCAATCTGCCTTCTTCTTTCATTCAGAGTACCACTGTCAGTATAATTTGTAATTTCTATGTGACAACCCTTATTTCATTTGTTTGACATCCGAGTCACTTTATTTAAAAAAACTTCAAACGCATTTTTCTCGAAACACCATTTTTTAATTTTGTGAACACGATTGAGAACGCCCTTTTGAACCAATCGGGCTTTATGATACATCATTTTAAAGATAATTAAATAATCTTCAATATGACATTTAGTGTTTCTTGAAAAAAATTTTTTTAAATATTTTTTTGGAATTTTAAAGTCAATTTTTATGCACGAAAAATCACTTTTAACTTAAAAGTGGGTAAAAAAAATTAATTCTTGAAATTTTTTTTAAAAATTCGAAATGTCATATAGAAGGTATTATCCTAAAGTTTAAAAAAAAACGTTGGTTTCTTTGTTTTAGAAAAAAATTCAGAGCGCTAGAATGTTCTCAGATAAAATGAGGTGCCATGGACGCGGTGTATATTTCCATTCTAAAAATGTTTTGTTTTTTCTCCAAAAATTTTTTTAGACTCTCAAGACATGTATTAAAGTACCCTATAAATTACAAAACGTTTGGAGTTATTTTACCCGAGAAAAAAGATCCCAAAAATGATGCATTTTTCGATCGTCTAAAGGAGGTTCCCCCCTTTATTTGTTTCTTTCTCATTTCGTTTATATTTAGCAAAAATTACAAAACATAGATAAAATAGATAATTTTAGGTCACAAAGTATCAACTGTTACTGATTATCAGTCTGTACAAATCATAACGATGATGATTATGCTGCAAAAGTAACAGATAGATAAAAATGGACCAATATCTGTTTTATACAGATTTGAAAAAAAATATTATCAAGTTTTTACCATACTTTATCTTTTTTGCTTTTAATTATTATATCAATATATGTTTTTTTCAGTTCACATTTTATAATTTATTTTCATATTATTATTGCTCTTTCACCTTTTTTAGACAGTATAAATAGTACCTCTATTTTTTTTATAACTATTTATAAATATCTATTTCAATTGTACTTAATAATTTATATTGAATTTGTTTTTTTATTATTCGTACTCTTTTATATTACATTTTCATTTGAAATTACTTTTTTTTCTTTTTCACTTCATTTTTATTTATATTTTACTTTATTTATATCTTACAAAACACACATAAAATAGATATTTTAAGGTCACAAGATATCAACTGTTACTGATTATCAGTCTGTACAAATCATAGCGATGATGATTATGCTGCAAAAGCAACAGATAGATATAAATAGACAAATATCTTTCTTATGTTAATTTTGAAGAAAATATTATCTTTTATACAAGAAGAATTTAGATTTACTTCAATTGTCTTAGGTGCTTTATCTTTCCTTTTTTTAATTATTATATCAATGCATGTTATTTTCAGAGCTCACATTATGTTTAATTGTATTTTGTTTTCATGTAATTATTGTTTTTTTTACATTTTGTAGACTATATAAATAATACTAACACTTTTTTTTATTATTGCTTTAAAATATATTTACTTTGTACTCAATTTAAGTTAAAATTGATTTTGTTTCTTTATTATTCCTATTATTTTTAATTTACAGTTCTTATTTGGGATGCTTTTTGTTTAACATTTTCGTATATTATATTTACTTTTTTTTACCCTTATTGCATCTCTGGGTATTCAGAATATTCTATAGACAAACATTCATTTTTAGAAATAGAGTATAAAAAGCTGTATAATTCTGTCTAATTGACGTAGAAAGAGAACAAGATAAATAAATCTCATTTTCGTAAAATCAAACAAATACTTGTAAATTTTTGTCTTATATTTTAATTTCATTTTTATATATATTTCACTTTCATTTACAAAACATAAATAAAATAGATTATTTTGGGTCATAAATTATTTACTGCTACTAATTATCAGTCTGTATAAATCATAACGATAATGATTATGCTGCAAAAGTAACAGATAGATAAAAATGGACCAATCTCTAATTTATTTTGATTTTGTAAATCATTATTGTTCTTTATCTTTTTTTTTGGGGTTTGCTTCTTTATTATTCGTATTCTTTCATATTTTTTATTTATTTTTTATATATAAGTGATTCTAATTTTTTTAATTTATGCAAATTTTTGTCTTTTATTTTAATTTGTTTTTTTGTTTTTTTTACTTCATTGTTATTTAAATTTTACTTTGCTTTACAGAATATACATAAAATAGATATTTTAATGTCACAAGGTATCAACTGCTACTGATTATCAGTCTGTACAAATCATAGCGATGATGATTATGCTGCAAAAGCAACAGATCAATAAAAATAGTCCAATCTCTATATTATGCAGATTTTGTAAATAATATTGTCTTCTTTTCACAAAAATTTAGACTTTTTCTATTTTGCATTGTATTTTTGATGTTTATTTTTCATTCAAGTCAAATTTTTATTACTTTATGCTAATTATGTGCACTATTTTTTATAAAATTTATTATATTCATTTCATTTTTGTCTTTTTTATATTTATTAATTTAACTTTTTTAAATTCTTTCTCTTATAGTTTTCTGAAGATTTCTTTTAATTTTTGTTTTCTTTCTTTTTTTTATTTTTTAATATTTGAAATATTTATTTCGTTATTATTTTTGTAAAGTTAAACTTTAGCGTACAAAGTATCGAGTTTCTTTAATTTCCTGTCTAATTGTACCCTGGCTCACATTGACTCCTTAAAGATATTTGAACCATTAAGACGTCACAATTTGCGCAGTGCACGTGTTTTAGAATGGTGACGTCATACAGATTTAAATACCCTTAAGTATTTTAAGCAAGGATATTGGTTGTTAAATTTTTGTCACTAAAGGAACATTTTCTACTAATTCTAATAAAGATCATAAGCTTACATTGACAGAAAAGAATTACTAAATCTTATATTTTTACTAGAGCTGTGCAAAATTCGAACCGAACCGAGTATTGGTCGGTTTTGCGGCGCCTAAATGTTGAATTTTAGAATTCGACATTTTAGCGTTCCAAAACAAAAAACACAACTCGGTTCGGTTCGAATTTTGTAGTAACTCGAATGTCGAATATTCGACATCCGAACCGGGCTAGTTCGAATGTCGGATTTTCGACATTCGAACTGGGCTAGTTTGAATGTCAGATTTTCGACATTCGATCTAAGCCAACTCGAATGTCGAATTTTCGACATTCGAACTAGGCGAAAAAATTCGAACAGTTCGGTTCGAATTACTTTGCACAGCTCTAATTTTTACTGAATATCATATAAGTTTTTTTTTCTTTTAAGATTAAAAAAAAATTTACTATTAGAAATACAAAAACATAACCTTAAATTGTTTCTTCTCCTTTGCCAAAGCTTCATTTCGCCTACATTTTTTCTTGAAAAGTTTGAAATTTTTGTTATATCTTCATAACTTTAGAGCTTGTTGATTATCATTTCCTTTCATTCCTTCTTAACCCATGTTGATCTTCGGTTGCAAGTTGTCGCACGGAACTTCTATATAAAAACAAATTTTATTGTCACAATTATGATTTGAGGTTAGTATTTTGAGATACTATAAACATAAAAATGTCATTTGTTCTATTAGCAACAATGTATATCTTAATAATAATACATAAAGTTTGCTTACTTAAAATAAATTTAGTAATTTGCCATTAATCATTGCCATCTGTATATTGGTCTCTGAAACAAAATTGTATATAGCAGTAATAGATCTACTAAAGAATGGTTTTAAAAAATATTAATATAAATTTTTCTCTTTTTTTTATTCCGTACATGTAAAACATAGGATCTATGACTTTAAGTTTTGAGATTTAAAAACACGGTCACATTTATTATCACGGACGGGACTGGGAATATTAAAACCTGAAAAACCGAAAACACGAGTAAAAGCTTATATTTACAATTTCTTTTTTCGATCGGAAAGAATTATTTATTTACACCTGTAATCACGAAATCGCGAAAAAGAAAATTTTACTGCTACATTTATTATCACGGTCTGCACTGACAATATTATAACCTGTATAACTGGTCGCCCGGATTTCCAGTTATTTATGAGGGAAAAGGGTGGAAATGAAAGGAGAATGAAAGAGAAACGATGTTTTAAGAATAACAATAATTTATTGACTTACTAATCGTCGATTCTCTCCACTCAAGTAATCCGAAGCACCGAATCCAATCACGGAAACAATTCACAGTAACGGTGGTGTTTTTGGGGAGTCGAAACAACAAGTGTCGCGTCTGCTTGCAAATCCGGCGATTGACAACCTCGAGGCCCTTTGGCCGTTTTCGGGTTCAATCGCCTGATTCGCAGCAGACGCGGGAGAATTCGTAACGCCACGTTACACCCCCCCTTCCCCTAAACGGGACGAAGTGTAACCCCTTATTACAAATTTTTTTTTTTTTTTTTTTTTTTTTTTTTAAATAAATTTTTTGGCAATTCGTCATATCTGTATCTAAGGATATAAATTCTGTGTTTGTTATGTTGATATTTTCCGTTAATTTTCTTGAATTTTCCACTAGACTATCTTCGAGAAATTCCTTCAGTTCCTCTTTCCGTTTGTCCCAATTCGCCCTTATGAACTTTTTTCCATTTTCCGCTGGTTCGCAATATCCCGCTCTTGCTTTGAGATTCCTTTTATCGCAAAATTCGTCGTGTAGTAGGTAGTGGGTTCTCCATACCTCCTTTTTGCAGAATCTGCAAGTTCAACTCTCCATGTTTTCTGTCATTTCCTGTAACATTCATAAAAAAAAATATTTTTTCCTAAAAAAAAATAAGCATAAAAGTCTATATTTTTAATTTTGATTTTATGGTTAATTTAAATATTTGTTTAAAGTTTTTAAGAGAAAAGGTATAAATTGGCTTTCGTTTTAATTTGTACTTTATTGTACTATTCTGTGTACATTTGTTTTATTTTGTGTATTTTTCAATTAATTTGGAGTTTCCTTATGTAAGGCGAGAACAAAAATTTTGTGTGTTAGAACAAGAAAAGAAAGAAAAGTTGTATTTCCATTTGTAAAGTTTTACAAAGATAAAACAATAATTATTTATAAATGATGAGCTATTGTTTTCAGTCAGGAAAAAAAATTTTATTTTTATTTGCGTGACTACTTATTTGTAGTATTGATCATGGGTGTAAAATAAAAGAAAAAGATACAGTATGAGAAAAAGAGATGGAAGGAGAAAAAGAAAATAAAAAAAAGTATAAAATTATATCATTTCTTCAAGTTGTCTTCCTTCCTATTTTCCCTTCAATGTTTTCACGTAGTTTTCGTAATCTTCATTGTTATTTTTTCGTAGTTTTCTCCATTCTTCATCTTGGGATTTTTTTTTCTCTGTGTTCTTCTCTAATATTTCGCGACGGTCACAGCGCCAGCGAAGCATACGAAGGAACACTTCTTTTTCTTTTGTGTAAGAGTACTCGTGTTTTTCAAAGTTTATTTCCCCTGAGTTGTTATTTGGTGATTTTAGTTTTTGGTTTATGCTGTTCGATATGTTAACTATTTTTGATTCCGAGTCCGAGTCACTCGCTGTGTAGTACGTTGTATCATCATCTAAATTTGCCTTTGTCATTTTTTCTATCACTGTCTCAGGTTCGGAGTTTGAGTCGTCGGTTTCGCTACTGCTAACACAAGAGTTCCTCTCTTCGTCGCTTTCTTCGTCCATTTCATTTTTAATTCTGATTTTTATGCTTTGGTTTCTTCGAGGCTTTTAATTTTGTCTTCTTTGGCTGCTATATCTTTATATCGGATTGGTTCCATTTTCTAAAAACAAAAATTAGTTTTCATTTTACTTCACATTCGTTAATGTAAAAAAAAATAAAAATAATTGTTTCTTGTAACCAGAAGTGAAAGGATATTTGTTTCAATTTTATCAAGTTTTTGTTTTTTGATTTTCCTACAATTTTCGTTTCATTTTCCATAGTAACTTTCTAAGAATTTTCGATTTATTTTCTCCTAATTTTCGTCGACATCTTTGTTAAAATTTTCGACTAATTTTTTTTTTAATTTTCGATTAATTTTCCTACAATTTTCACCTAATTTTCAAAGGTTTTTCTATGTTTTCCTGAAGATTTTGTTTAATTTTCGTTTTCTACGAATTTTCGCAAATCGTTTATATTCCACGATCCTATCGATTTTCCGCGAATTTTTCCTAATTCGTATACAGTGGGGGAAATTTTTCGAATGATTTTATATGGGCCTTCGAAATCTTTTTTCAATTTTCGCGCAATTCTTAGATCTTTGCTGGAAAGGGATTTGTCTTTTTTCCAGACTAGATCTCCTACTTCAAATTCTACTTTTCTCCTACGCAAATTGTAATATTTCGCTTGGTTTTCGTTCGCTTTATCTAAATTTCGTTGAACTTCGTCCTTAATAATTTGTAAGCGTCTCAGTCTTTCTGTCCACTTGTCAACTTCCTGAAATTCAATTTCGTCCGGATTTTCGAAATCTTTTTTCAGTGTTTGAAAAGGTTGAAGCTCACGACCTAAATTGAGGAAAGCTGGGGTGAAATTAGTTAAGGAATGTTTTGAGGTATTTAAAGCAAATTGTAGATCGTCGATGTCTTTATCCCAAAGATTCTGTTCCTTATCTAAATAAGCTTTAATTGCCGTTTTAATCGATCTATTAGACCTTTCGGTCGGGTTTGCTTGCGGGTAGTACTTTGGCGTAAAAGAGTGTCTTATTCCGAATTTTTCTGACATTTCCCGAATTACTTTATTAGCATATTCCGTGCCATTGTCGGAAATAAAAATTCTGGGCGTTCCCCATCTGGAGATTACTCTTTTGTGAAACTCTGCTTTGATAGTTTTTCCGTCTGCCTTCTTAATTGGAATTATTTCCACCCATTTTGTGAAAATGTCCAGAAATACTAAAATATATTTGTTCCTATTTTTCGATAAGGGTAATGGGCCTATTATATCGGAAGCAACCATCGTCCATGGTTCCTCCACGATTCGTTTACCCATTGGTCCTATTTTCGGTTTGTTATTTGCTTTTGTTTGTTGGCAAATTTTACATTTTCGAATATATTTTATTATTTCCGTGTACATTCCAGGCCAGAAAAAATTTTCGGAAATTCTATGGAAAGTTTTCTCCACGCCAAGGTGTCCTGCTTGCACGTTATCATGATTTTCGACTAATACCTGTTTTCTCAAATTTTCTGGAATAACTAATTTCCATGGATTTTCATTTTTAAGGAGGGGTGATTTTAATGGATCGGGTCTATGAAAATATAATTGTTTGTCTCTAATTCGCCAATTTTCGTGTTCATGAGGTTTTGATTCTACTAATCTCATTTTCGTTTCGTAACAATTATTTTCTGTTTTATTTTCGCTACTTTCGATTTTTATTTCCTCGGAAATTTCTTGTTTTTCTTCGAAAACTCTCGACAACGCATCTGGAACTACGTTCGCTGAACCTTTTCGATATATTATTTCGAAATCATGTTCCGACAGTTCCAACGCCCATCTCGCCAAACGTCCTGTAGGATTCTTTAAATTGTGTAACCATTTTAAAGCAATGTGATCAGTTATTACTTTAAAATGACTACCTTCTAAATATTGTCGAAATTTTCCTATGAACGTTTTCACCGCGAGACACTCCTTTTCTGTTGTCGAATATTTCCTCTCCGTTTCGCTTAAATTTTTACTTCCGTATGCAACTACTACGTTTTTACCGTCAATGTCTTGTGTCAAAACTGCGCCTAGACCCGTGTCACTTGCGTCAGTTTCTAGTATGAAAGTGTGTTGAAAATCAGGGGGGTTTAAGATCGGAGCTGTCGTCAACAACTCGATCAGTTTTAATTTTGCTTTTTCCTGATTTTCGTCCCAAGTCCATTTTACATTTTTCCGTAGTAATTTTTGTAAGGGTTCAATTATTTCAGCGAAATGTGGAATAAATCGTCGGTACCAGCTAACCATTCCTATAAAACGTTGTAACTGTTTAATAGTTTTAGGAGTCGGAAATTCTCGAATGGGTTTAACTTTGTCGTCATCGATTTGCAGTCCTCTTTCGTTAACTACGAAACCTAGGTATTTTACCTCTGCACAACCGAATTCGCTTTTTTCGAAATTAACCGTCAACCCTGCTTCTTTTAATTTTCCTAATACTATTTCCAAATATTTCATATGTTCGTCAAACGTTTGAGAAACTATAATTATGTCGTCTAGATAACAGAAAACTTTAGGTTTGAGATCGGGCGTAATAATTTTATCCATTAAGCGTTGGAATGTTGCAGGAGCATTGCAGAGGCCAAACGGCATACGTTTCCACTGGAACATTCCAAACCCAGGGACAACGAAGGCCGTCTTCTCTTTGGACTCCTTACTTAACGGAATTTGATTATATGCCCACTTCAAGTCTACTTTCGAAATGTATTTCGCGGCTCTGAGCATATCTAAAATTTCGGCCATTAACGGAACCGGATATAGGTCTTTTTTCGTGACTGCGTTGACTTTCCGAAAGTCTAGGCACAATCTGTATGTTCCGTTCGCTTTCTTTATCATAACAATTGGATTCGACCAATTGCTATTACTTGGCTCGATAATACCTTCGCGCAACATTCTCTTAATTTCCTTAATTATTTCCTCCTTAATTTTTGGCGAAACATAATAATATCTTTGTTTTATCGGCGCTGTACCCTGCGTGTCAATAACGTGTTCAGTCAAATGAGTAGCTTTCAAAATTTCCTCGGGGGGCGGTAATCTAATTTTTAAAAATTTATTTAAAAATTCTTGTTCTTCTTCGGACAATTCGACTAGTCCTGAACAAAATTCGGTTTCATCTAAACAACTCGATTCTCGCAATATTTTTTCCTGAATATTGTTGTTCATTATCGCGTTGTTTTTGAAATTAATCCATTTCGTACTTAATGGTATACGAAATTTATTTCCAATCGCCATAGAATTTTTTGATTCTAATTTTTCCGATTTAATCGCCATATGATTTTTCGATTTTAATTTTTCCGATTTTTCATTTTCCGTTTTTTGCGAATTTTCTCGTTTTCGCCAAATTTTCGAACTTATTTCGCGTTCTCTAATTTTCTTATTCAATTCCGCTTTTTTATACCAATTTTTCTTACGGGGATTGTCGATTGGGAACAAAAATGGTTCGTCAGTCTCGTCAAGACCTGAGTCCATTTCTAAATTATCAAATCTGTTTGATAATGGGATATCCATTAATTTTGGAGGAATTTTCCGGGGTTTTGGAGTTGGAATTTGGGTAGGTGTTTTCGACTGTTGTAAGGATTGTCTTGGTATAATTTTTGGAATTTTTCTTTCATTTTTCGGGTCGACCCTTGGAAAATTTTTCGTAATTTTCCTACAATTTTCCGTAACGATATCTTTCGATTTTCCTAATTCGAATTTTTTCTCGAATTTTCCTGAATTCTCTTTTTTATTCTCGAGAATTGGTTCAAAATTTTTTCCCGATTTTGAACTATTTTCCTATTTTCCTATTTTCTCTTTGTGAACTGGACCAACCTGTTTGTGATCCCACTTCTTGTTTTGTCAAAACAGCTTCGACCATTTTTTCGATTTTTTTATTTTCCCTATCTCCGATTTTATAACGTATGTTAGGTAAATCTTTTATTGACCAAGTGTCAGATTCGAAATCTAATTTCATTCCTAATTCGCGTAGCATATCTATTCCTAAGATTGCATATTGCCTTAAACCTGGGACAATTCTGAAAGTCAAATTTTTTGTTATATTTCCGATTTCTACCGGGATCGTAACTTTTCCTATAATTTGTAAACTTTCACTGTTGGCTGCTGTCACGAGTTTATTTTTCACTGGTTCTAATTTTACACCGTATAATTGTAAATATACCCAATTTTTGTGACCAAAAAATGAACTCGTAGCGCCTGTGTCGATTAACGTTTCGAAAATTGTATCCTGGTATTTGATGTTAGTGAAAAATCGTAAATCTTTCACCAACGTTTCGCAACTTTCTGGTAATTCAATATTTTTTGGGGATACTGGATTTTTCAGTACCCCCTCTACTTGTTTCCCTGATTTTCTGACCTACAATTTCTACGAATGTGACCTACTTTTCCGCAACCGTAGCATTTTTTCGGCTGACTTTTCTCGCTTTGGTTTGTCTTGGAAGTATTACCATTCCCTGCAGGTGAACGGTTTGGTACTGCCACTTGAAGACTATTACTTGGATTATTATTGTCACTGGAAGGACCTTCTAACATTTTCTGAACATTATTACCGTTTGTAGTTGCGTCAGGTGGAAAAGTGATTTTTGGTTGATTTCTTTGAGGGTAATTTCCAGAGGAATTTGGTTGAAGTCGCGAGTTTCCACCAAACCTTCTAGAATTTCCGTTATTTCCCTGATTCGTAGTTTGCTTCGATTTATCATTAGACGAGTTTTTATCTGTTGTGATTTTTAAATATTGTCCGCGAATTTTCGACTTATTTCTTTCAATTTCGAATTCTTTACCTAAACTTTCTAGTTCCTCAAACGTTTTAAAATCGTTTCTTTGGATGTACATCTTGTACTCGAGACGCAAATTTTCATATGCACGACGTAATTCCCAGTGTAAACCTTTTCGCGGGTATAATTTTCCGAATAGTTTTCTTATTCCAGTCAAAAAGGTTTAAATTTCTTCGCCCTCTTTCTGATTGCAATATTTGATTTTCGTGTTAATTTCCTCGTAGAACTTTCCGTCTAAAAATGTTCTTTCGAATTCTTCACGAAAATCTTGTAAAGAAAACCAATTGTTTCTAACCGTTCTACACCATTCAAGGGCTTCGTCTGCTAATACTGCGTCTATGTTTTCTAACACACGATTTTCTGGGATTTCGTAACCTCGCATAAATCTGTACAATTCTTCTAAAAATTGCACTGGGTTCTCCGTTTTGTTATTACAAAATTTAACTGGCCAATTTGACATGATTCGAAAACGTGTTTGTAACATGCCAAAAGGAAAATGATTATTGAAATTTCCAAAATGTCGATTGCTGTCGACTTGGGTATTTGGATTTTCCATTTCCGTATTTTCCGTGAAATTTTCTTCGAAGTTTGGATTTTTATTTTTTGCTAAATTTTCCATCGTAATTTTCATTCGGTCTAATTCTAATCTAAGTTGATCTAATTCCTTATCGCGTATCGATATTTCATTTTTGAATTGATCTGACTCGGTTGATTTTTCTTTTATTTTCCGATGAAAATTAATATTTTTTCCTTTCGGAATAGTTCCTAATTTTTTGGGTTCGTACTCGATTTCGATTTCACTATCGTTCGGCCATTCATAGTTAATTTCCTGTTTTTTGCTTTTAAATTGGACATTTTGTCTTTTTTCCCTAATTTCGCGTTTATCTGAGTCGAAATAATTATCTACTTTTGCTCGAAAACTATCTTCCGAATCGCTGTTATTTTGATTATTTTTATTTACTGAACTATGTGCTGAGGGTTTGTATTTTTCTTGCACAATTCTTCGATGTTCGCGTTCTAATTGTTTTTCTCTTTCGCGTAATTTTTCCCTTTCGTTTCGCAGCATTTCATCGTATGCTGTTAATTCGTTCCTACTTTTAATCATTTGGTTATTTGTCCCTAAAAACGAATTAATATCAAAAGTTCCGTCTTTTCATTTTTCTGGAAAATTTTCCGTCACATTTTCCGATAATTTTCCTACAAAATTTTCTGTGACATTTTCCGGTACTTTTCCTATATTTCCAACAGTTTTCTTTATTCCGGCAAAGTACTGTTGTAATATACCGCGGTTTATTGGTACAGTTGTTGGCCCTGCATCTGGTAACCCTTGGTTACTGTTCTCCGAATGCATCAACTGCACACTCGCGTTCTTCGTATCTCTTGCCCTTAATTCTGGCAAGGACACGTTCCTTGTTGCTGCTCGTTCACTTGTTCCGCTTGGGAGGGGCATAGATTGGTTGAAATTAAAAAATTTCAATTTTTCGGGGGACACGAGTTCAACGAGAGCACGAATCATTGTCTCGTGTCTCTCTATCGTGGCTTCTAAATCATTTGATTTCGCATTGTCTTGTGGGGGGGAATTTTGTTTGTGTGTGGGAGGGGCAGTTCCGCTCGCTGCGTTTGTTTCCTCAAAATCTGTTTCGCTCGCCGTTTCCGTTTCGCTTCCCGACATATTTTCTGTTTCCTTATTTTCCCTAATTCTTCTTGTATCCGATCGTAAAACACGTCTCGGATGCATTTGTGATTCAATTTTGAAAAATTAGAAATAAGTTTAAATCGTTATTTAATCTATTCTACAAATTTCAACTTACGCAAAAAGAAAAAATTTTCCGCTAATTATTGTTCAACGTCATGAACTATATGTGAGAAAAAGTTTCTATTGCTAAATCACAAATGTTCGAACTAATTTTTGTTAATTTTCTCGGAATTTGCCGTACCGTCAACTGGGGCTATTTTGTGCATCCGGGGGCTATTTTGTGCACGCGAGTTTTTTAATGGAAAAAATTATTAAAATGAATTATTTTAATCTGCTATTTTGTAAAATGAAAGTTTGATTCCATGACAATAGAGAGCACTAAATGTTATTATTTAATTCTTTGGCAATTAAGAGAAAAAAATTCCTAAAAACGGAAAATTTGTTTAAAAAATTTTGAAAGTTCGGAAAAATTATACCAGATCTTCTAGAGTTTTAATGTGTCTCATAAACTGTGTTAGATATTTTTTTTCAATTGTGTTGTGATGATACATACGTAATGCGCTAACTTTTTATTCATTATTTTAAGAGAAAAGTGGAAGAAACTGAAAAACCAGGATTCCATGGGGCTATTTTGTGCACTTAAAAAAATCAAATATTTTTCATAAATATTTTATTTAGTAAGTAAAGAAGATTCTGTTTATCATTTTTATACATTTTTGTCTTACTTTTCTGTCAAAAAACTGTAAATACGTTAATTAAAATCATTAAAACGATTAAAAACTCTACCGGTGCACAACGTAACCTCAAAAAATGAACATTAATTAATATTTATAAGTTTTTCAAATTAGTTTTAAAACTATTTTCTCGTTTCTCTTAAAATAACTTGAAAATCATATTAGATATTAAATTGTTATCTATTTAACCTTAAAAATATTTATTTTAAGTTTTTTAAAAATATCATTCAAAACCATTAAAAAAGCTCCTATTGAAATGATGTTTTAAAGTTATTTATAAGTGTTTAAACGATCATTTTATAATTATATTAGTATATTATTATAAAATATATATTAAAAAAGAAAAAAATTTTATTTACTATCTGTGTAATATACAATTTAAAAAAAGATTGTTAATTTTTAGTAAATCCAGATTTCAGCAAAATTTTAGTGCTTTATTTTACATTTTTTGTATAATATATCTACAAAAAAAATTTTACTAGGTCATTCTTTTTTTAATTTACTCTCAAATATATACACAAAAGATTTCATGAAGCAGAAACGATTAAAAAAATTGTTTACGCAACATTATAGAAAAACAAAGTTCGATGCACAAAATAGCCCCATCCCGGGAGTTATTGTGTTCACGACTTTCAATGACTATAACTAAGACAAAAAATTTTTTTCTTTGCAAAATTTATAGGAAACCTTCAAAAGGATGTCCACAACATATATCAAAAGTTGATTTTCTTTATTCTCTTAATTCTGAATTTAAATAAATCTTTGAATAAAAAAAAGCTATTTGGTGCACAAAATAGCCCCGGTTGACGGTATTTGTTTTTTTGTGCTTAAAAAAAAATTAATTACACGTTCATTTTCCGAAAAACACTAAAAAGTTTAAATCGATACTTTTGACACACCCGGTATACGTTGCAAAAAGTTTTATTTTCTTCCTAACTGTTAAACATCGAAAAACAAAAAAAAGAATTTTCATTTATTATCAACAATTAATTTTAATTCGTTATTAATTGTTATTAACTTTTAACGATATTTTAAAATGGAATTTATACTTTAACGCACTACCGTATAAAAAGTAACACCCGGTATAAGTCGGTTACCGTGTCAAAAATTTCTAAGTTTTTATTCTAAGTTTAAACTTTAGAGACACCCGGTATAAGTCTTGATTTTTCAAAATTTTATTTTCTTGACTTATTTTATTCAATTTTATTTGTCACCCGGTATACTAATTTTTATTTCTCACTTGACAAAATTATTTTCGAATTAATCGCGAAATTTTTCGTGTTTAATATTTTTTTTCGAAGTTACACACGACCTTGATCACGAAAACAAAACAAACCGGCGTCTTACAACGACAAAATTTTCTCTCAAAAATAATCGATAAATTCACTTTTTCTTTTTAATTCTCGACTTTATTTTCCGTTTTTTCAATAATTTTCACTAATTTTCGCTAATTTTCACGAATTTAGTCACGATTTCAAAGAATTTTTCACGATTAATTTTTACCGGTCTTTACGCGCACTTTTTTACAGAAATTTTGTCTTGTCTGCGTCCGTCACAAAGAAAATTTGTCACAATTGTCAAAGAAATACAATACAATAATGTAAAATATCAATAAAATTCAATAATTTTCATGCACAAAATATAAATATGTTCAAATAAATATGGGAAACAGGAAAATAAAAGATTTGATTTCGAGGTTAGGCGACCATGAGGTGACAGGTGGAATTTTCAACAATTAAAAAATGATGAAAAAATAAATGAATTTTCTGGGATTTTCAACAAAACAAAGATGATGAAAAATTATTTTGGGGATTTTCAACAAAACAAAGATGTTGAAGAGAATTATTTCTGAAGGGTTTTCTTAACAGAAAAAGGAATGGAAAGATGGGTTTTTTCGTTGGGCGTCAATTTATAATCGATTGGCGACCAGGCGGTGAAAAATGGATTTTCCTTTTGATTTTTCCACAATTATAAAAAAATCGAAATTTTCAGGGAATTTTCAAACAAGAAGGGAATGTTCCGGTGGGTTTTTTATGTTGGGCGCCAATTTATAACTGGTCGCCCGGATTTCCAGTTATTTATGAGGGAAAGGGTGGAAATGAAAGGAGAATGAAAGAGAAACGATGTTTTAAGAATAACAATAATTTATTGACTTACTAATCGTCGATTCTCTCCACTCAAGTAATCCGAAGCACCGAATCCAATCACGGAAACAATTCACAGTAACGGTGGTGTTTTTGGGGAGTCGAAACAACAAGTGTCGCGTCTGCTTGCAAATCCGGCGATTGACAACCTCGAGGCCCTTCGGCCGTTTTCGGGTTCAATCGCCTGATTCGCAGCAGACGCGGGAGAATTGGTAACGCCACGTTACTCCTGAAAAACCGAAAACACGAGTGAAAGCTTTTATTTACAATTTTTTATTTCGATCGGAAATGATTATTTACACCTGTAATCACGAAAGCGCGTATAAGAAAATTTTACTGTCACATTTAGGTATTATCACGTTCGGTACTGTCAATATTATAACCTGAAAAACCGAAAACACGAGTAACTACTTGTATTTACAATTTTTTATTTCGATCGGAAAGGATTATTTACAGCTGTAATTACGAAATCGCGAAAAAATTCAATTCTACAGTCACATTTTGTTTCAGGGGTGGTTACTATCTAATTTTAAATTGGCGAAATTTCACTATTTCACAGCTATAAGTATACAATTATTTTAAAAAAAGGTATATACGGTAATTAATCAGTTATATTTGACTGATTTCTTATTGTAATATTAGTTTCAAAATTTTGACGTTACACTTTAAGAAACTGTGACGTCTTAACAGTTGAAATGCCCTTAAAGTATTTATAAAATTAAAAAAAATTAGATAATTTCAATAAAAATCACCTGTAATAATTTTTGCATTGTCCATGGAACCTATTTTCTTTAGACTTCAGATCACACTGCAATAAATATAAATAATTAATCTCGCTGTTGTTTCTTCTTTACGTTTAGAAATTAATATTATCAAAATTTATTACGAAACTCGATGAGGAGCTAACAAAACTCTAATAAAAACCCCTAAAAACATTCTTTTATAAAAAATAATTTTTTGAGATATTTTTAAACTTATACGGATATTTTTGTGTTTTGTAAAAAATTGTATTGAATTTTTTAAAGAACTTTATGAAAGATTTTAAATTATTATCAAACGAACATAATCATTGCTAATAAATTAATTAGTTATATTAAAATATATCCAAAATAAATGATAATACATTACCATTCTTTAGCCGTTTCGCTCTTTATTTCATTCTGATTTCTGATTCTGATGACGGAGACTTCATGGGGAATCCCAAGTGTAGTAAACGTTGCATAGGATGAACATAGGTCTCAGCAGAATAAAACCTCTAAATTGTAAATCGTAGAATCCTAGAAATGTTAATATTGAGAATGAATAAAACATAAAATTTAAAAAAAAAATTATTATTTATAAAAATCCTAATAAAATCCTTTGCAAGAATTCAATTATTGTCATATATAATAAATCGATTAATCTGTAATTCATTTTTAAATTAATTTTTATTAGAAAATTCTAGAAGAATTCAATTATTTAAATTAAAAAATAAATAATTTATTGAATAATTTAAATCTTATGACAAATTTTGATACATTTTTTTAAGAATAATTACATTTTTTGAGGAATTCAATTAAAATTGTATTAAAAATAATTAAATTCTGCGAATTTTCTTTATTTTTAAACTTGAACATCGAAGCAACATCAGCTGACTTAGTATATGGTCAGTCTCTTCGCCTCCCTGGTGAATTCCTAGGGGACTTTTGCTATTAATAAAATATTGTTGTTAAAACTAAATATCAAACCTGTTTCACACAATCCTAACAATCCCACAGAGGTTATGATGTAAAAAACTTTTACTGAAGTGAAATAAATAAACGATAATGTAAAAAGAATAATAAATTTAAAAATTCGATTTTTCTATCTTAGGAGGGAAGATTCCACAACCACGTCGCCCTCGAGGACGTCCACCAGAAAGGAGCAATACAAGAAGCAGGGAAAACGTTGGAGGTGCTGCTGCTGTGGATGCAAACCAAGATAATCAAGAGCAGCCTCCGCGCCAACAGGATGTAGTGGCTGCAGAATCTTTGTCACAATTAAGACATGTACATATTTTAAACTTTTTTTCTTTAACCAATTTGTTTATTACAAATTTTTAATAATAGAAAAGTAGGTAGAGTCGAGTTGTTGAGGAAGAATACGGCAATCAGAATAAAAGTTAGTCCCATGTAAAAATTTTATATTATTTTAAAAGAAAAGATGAAATTAATAACTTTTAAATTCCATTTGATAGAAGCGTAAGGAATTTAATTTTCTACATTGTGAATAATTTAAAATTATATTTAAATAAGTATTATAATTTTTTGTCAATAATAAATGATTTAAGTAATATAATCCATTTAATTTAAAACAAATGTTTTTCATTGACAAAAAATTGTAGTTTTTATTCAACTGCAACTTTCAATCGTTTCAAATGTTTAAAATTAAATTTTCTTTTTTTCCCCAAAACGAATTTCAAAATTAATTTATCTTTTCTTTTAAATTACGAAATTATGACATTGAACAAACTTTTGTTTTACCTGACCGTCAGATGCTTCCTTGAGTCTCTCATGTTATTTTTGTTAAAAAATTTCCTATTTGAAATCGACCACTTTCTTGTACGATAATGGTGTGCATTACTAAAGAATTGTTAAATAATTTTTTAGAAATAGCGCACGAAATTCGAAATTACTAACAACTTTTTAGCGGTATTTCTGAAAAAGGTAATACCAACATTTTTAAATAATTCGCACAAACATTTGTTGATTTTTTATAATATAACTAGCTGTCGTACCCGTCTTCGACGGGTTTTAGTTTCTACCAATACATTTAACAGTGTGTCTACCAATTTGGAAAATAAGGAAATAGCTCAGGAATTTAATTTGACCGGAAAAAAATAATAATTAGTTAGGTACCATTATAGCTATTTCAGTAGGAAAATATTACTATTTGAATCAGTGATTGACTTTTTATTATCAAATTAGTTATTTTAACCAATTCAAATGCAGAGAACAATATTTGTCAATTTGTAGTACTTTAATTAATGCATTAAAAATTTATCAAATTTCCCACCCAGTTTTTGGAGTTATAGTAGAGTCTAATTGGAACTAATTGTATCGCAAAGGTTACGACTGCTAAAACCTAACATAAGACCTATATTTTAGACTGAAAGTAGGGCTTAAATTTTGACCCGGGTCTGTTTTCATAAATATTATACATCAATAAAAATTAAAGTAAAAAGCAATTTTTTAAAAGCGAATTAATATAATGAAACTTTTTCTTAATTTGATTGGAAAATTCCCAGCTTTTTCCAGTTTTCCCCGTTTGGTAGTTACCCTGTTAAATGTATTAGTAGAAACAAAAAACTGTCGTAGACGGGTACGACAGCTAGTAATATAATCTATATTTTATATGAACTTAAGAAAGAGTATTTTCATAAAAATAAGTAAATTTTTATAGCCATTTGTAGATTTATTTATGGATAAAATCAAGTAAATTTAAATTTAACAAAAAAAAGATAAACCGTGAAAAAGGACAAAGCAGGAAATTTTGTTAAATAAAATAGACACCGTGTTAACTTTTGTCTTTACATTGCTCAAAACATCTCTAAAAGTTAAATCTAGAGTTAAAATAAAAAAAACGTTTTAACATATAAGTTTTTGCCTAGTGGCATATAATATGCTTGTATTGTATCAGAGGTGACTTACAATTTCTTGACATCCTGCAATATCATTTTAATCATAAAAAATTTGCATTTTCAATATTTCTGAAATTCTTGAAAATATTAGATTAATTTGATAAATAATTCTCAATTACACTATTTTTACGTCAAAATAATAATCAGAGACTCCAAAAATACTACTGAATTAAACTTCATAGTAATTAGTATCGATTTTTTGATATTGAAAATATTTTTATATTTACTTATAGGATAGTATTTTTTGCAAAATTATGCTAAAATCTGACTAAATAACATATAATATTGAATTTTAGAAAGTTTAAAAGCTATCCATTAAAAATGTGAAATTTGGAAATTTTCCATTTTTTGAAGTTTTTGAAAATATTTTTATATTTACATCTTAGTTATAGGATAGTATTTTTTGCAAAATTATTCTAAAATGTGACTGAATAACATGTAATACTCAAATATAGAAAGATTAAAAGCAATCCATGAAAAATGTAAAATTTTGAAATTTTTGATTTTTTGAAAACATTTGTATACTTACATATTAGTTATAGGACTTTATTTTTTGCAAAATTATGCTAAAATGTGACTAAATAACATGTGATACTCAAGTATAGAAACTTTAAAAGCAATCCATGAAAAAATTAAAAATTTTGAAATTTTCGATTTTTTGAATTTTTTGAAGAAATTGAATATCTCCCGTTCTAATTAATATTTTTTAAATCTGTAAATTTATAAACCTTCCTTGGGTCAATACCTAATAACCTACCAAGTTGGACTTAAATCGATTTACATGTTTTTGTGTGATTGGGGTACAAAGTTTTTGTGACAGACATACGTACATACATACGTACATACATTAAATTTTTTAAGAATATTTTTGGAATCCCTGATGTCCATAATAACTAATCATGTTAACATTTTGAAGTTTTAAGCAATGTACAGACAGACATCTGATTTTATTAATAAGGATTTTACTCAATATAAGAGCCGCTGGAAAGTAAAGTCACCTATAAAATTTGTTCAGTCGTTTTCATTGGCCTGCAATGTTTAAAAAATCAATGTTTCAAACACAGATTCTAGCCAAATTTATCTTCTGAAAACGGAAAAAATAAATTGAACTGAAATTTGTATTTTGCATATTGATTTTTCAGGCATCAGGCACCAATGAAAATATTCGTACAAATTTTATATCTGAGTAAGAATTTTTGAAACATGCCTCCGGAAACTTAAAAATTTTTATTTTGTCCTAAATGTTAATGTTTCTTTATCACTGTACATAAAAAATCACTATGTAAAAGGAGTTTACAAAAAAAAATTTATTTTTGTTATTAACAAATGAAAATTTCTACTACTTTTTTAAAAAAAATTAATTTTAGAAAAAGTGTTTAACAGATTTCAATGATTAAAGCGGCATTATTTTTGCCTTAAATCCAACTTTCAAGTAAAAGTTATTTTGATATTAAATTTTAATAAACAAAAAAATTGATTATTTATAAAAAATATGTAAAATACCACTTTATCCATAAAATTTTAAGTCGAAAAAATTTTACTTATTCTTTGAACCTTTTTGCACAATATTCCAAAGATAAAAAATGGCACGCATTAAGAAGTAGCTAAAATAATTATCTTTTGATATTGCGTACGAAATAATTTACACGTAACACCACGTATTTTCCAAATTAAAATTTCATGGGAATAGTTGTTCTTTTTACATATTTTTATAAATTAACAATGTTTTTGTCCATTAAAATTCAATATCTTTAAATAAAATAATTTTTTTGAAGGTTGAATTCAAGACAAAAATAATGCCGGTTAAATCATTGAAATCGTCCAAAAAGTTTTTCTGAAAAAACAGTTTATGTAAAAAAACAATCTTTTACATAAAAAATATAAAATAACTTATTTTTTACGTGGAAGATTTAAAAAATACATGTTTGTGAAATTAAAACAAAATTATAACTTTTAGGATCTGTATTCCATTGTTGAAACGGCGGTTGCTGCAGCAATGGCTAGTGCAGCCAGAGGTGGACTTCAGTCTGGCGTTGGCCAACGTGGTGGGGAACACCGTGGTAGAGTATACCGTGGTAGAGTATACCGTGGTGGAGTATACCGCGGTAGAGTATACCATGGTAGAGTATATCACGGTATAACTTATCGTGGAAACGGTTATCGTAGAGGCTGGTTTAACAACAATAGGAGTCAACGAGGTGGTCGCCTGGGAAGAAGTTACTATTTCGACGAGGTGGCCCTAGCAGTATGTGATAAGAATGTATGTGATAGAAAATTATATACCTCTTTTTTTAAAAAGTAAATAAACTTTTATAAGTAAAAATAAAAAATTTGTAATTTTATTAACATGGATATTGTGAGTGTTGATTCTAAAATATTCATCTACCTTGATAATCACAGAAACTTTAATGATTTAAATAAAGAATTTAAAAATGAGTTTCTTTTCATTCAGAAATTTACTTTTTTCGGTGTAATTATAATCAGAGACTCTAAGAATAAATAATTAACAATTCAGAACTTCTTGAAATCATTGAATTCATTCAAATCAATATTTCAGATTTTCAATGTTCATAAATTCATAAAATCGAATTTTTGTTTTACTAAATTTTGATTAAGTTGGTATTGAAACAAAAGATAATAAAAAATAACTTGCAAAAAGAATCGTTAGTTAAAATTATACAAGAAAGAAAATGTGAACTTTTTCAGAATTAAATTATTTCTTTTTCAAAAAAAATTCATTTCTTAGGGCCCACTGTTCCAGTCTCGCGTTCTGATGGGTGTTTTTCTTCGACAGATTGTAGCGAATTAATTGCCTCAAGAATCGATAATTAAATTTATTCAAGATAAAAAATGTGAATTTCTTTAGAATTAAAATCAATTTTTTTCAAAGAAAAATTCATTTTTTAGGACCCAATTTTAGTGTCCTGCGGTCGGATGGGTTGTTTTTGTCTTCGAAAGATTGTAGCAAATTAATTGCCACAATAATCGATAATTACATTTATTTAAGGTAGAAAATATGAATTTTTTTAGAATTAAAATCATTTTTTTTCAAAGAAAAATTCATAATTATTATAGGACCCAATGTTAGTGTCCCGCGGTCGGTTGGGTTGTTTTTGTCTTCGAAAGATTGTACCAAATTAATTGCCACAATAATCGATAATTACATTTATTTAAGGTAGAAAATATGAATTTTTTTAGAATTAAAATCATTTTTTTTCAAAGAAAAATTCATATTTTAGGACCCAATGTTAGTGTCCCACGGTCGGTTGGGTTGTTTTTGTCTTCGACAGATTACAGCAAATTAATTGCCACAAGAATCGATAATTACATTTATTTAAGGTAGAAAATGTGAATTTTTTTAGAATAATTAAAATCATTTTTTTTTCAAAGAAAAATTCATATTTTAGGACCCAATGTTAGTGTCCCGCGGTCGGTTGGGTTGTTTTTGTCTTCGACAGATTGTAGCGAATTAAGTGCCACAAGAATCGATAATTAAATTTATTCAAGGAAGGAAATGTGTATTTTTTTTAGAATAATTAAAATCGATGTTTTTAAAGAAAAATTCACTTTGTTATGTCTAATTTTATTGCTATTATTTAATATGTTGTATTAATTTTATTTAATAGTATATTTTAGTTTTTATGTAAGCATTTAGTATTTTGTAAATTTTAAAATTCATCAAATAAAAATACAAAGTAAATTTTCGTAAATTTACATGTAGGATCTACAGTCACTCTGAATAAGACAAAAAAAATGCATTTTGAAGCTATTGCAAAAACACCTTTATAACTTCGTGTAGAAGACATTTTAACATTTTTGGTAAAATTTTTTTCTACTAATAAGGAGCATTTGCACTTTTGGTAAAAATTTGCAGAACGGGATATTTACATTGGAGTAAGAGAGACAGACTGTGTATCTGTCTCTCTTACTCCAATGTAAATTTCCCGTTCTGCAAATTTTTACCGAAGGTGTATATGCTCCCTTAGTCGTATAAATGCACCAAAATGCTTGAAATGAAAAAAAAAAACAAATAATTTTTTGCCATTTCTATCTTATTCATAAAATTTGATAATATAATATATCTTGCTTAGGGCTTTTCTGTTCACGTATTATTGCCAACTGGCCTTAAACAATGTGGATACCGGTGTGGATGCTGCATAAGGTAAGGAAGTGAATAGTGAATTTCTCTCTTACGTCTTTAAGAGAGATCTGAGTATCTCTAAACAACACGTCAAAATTTTTGTTTTCATGGAATCTTTTGAAAACAACGAAAAAAGTGCCAAACTAATGAAAAATTATAAATCCAGAAGCATGGAATCTTCTGAGGAAAAAGAAAAAGGTGATAAACCAAATACTTCTGATAAATCCATGATTTCTGAGAGGTATAGGAAGCGTGAATCCGGACATTACCAAACTTCGGGAAAGAGATTGTCCAGGAAAAAAGGTCCTACAGCTAGGTAATTATAAACATATATGTAATATTAACACATTTTTTTCTTCAACTTCCTTATGTCTAATTTTCTTAAGTATTACAGCGTTTCTAGAGAATAAACGATTTAAACATTGATTTCATAAATAAAATATATTTATTAGTATAATCCCTATAAAAATTTTTTAAAAATTTTTATAATTTTTAGGTATATAGTAATATTCAATCTTTAAAGTAATTTCATTTATTATAAAAAAATTTGTTAACATTACAAATAATGGGCAAAGTACGGGGAATAGCTAATAAAAATTATTGTGAAATTATACAGTGTTTTTCAAAAGAAACATTATTATTCACGAGGGAAATGAAATTTTTTTAAAATATTGATGTTATAGTTTGCAGAAATTTAATAAATACAAATCGAAAATTTTCACTAAAATTTATTTTAAACATTAACAACACTTTTTTACTTATTATTGATACTAAAATAAATAAAAAATGTAAAAACAGAAAGTTTTACAGAAATAAGTCTTAATTGTTCCAATGTTCTGTCAGTGTAGTTCATACCTCAAAAATTGAGAAATTTTAATGAAATTACAATGTAAAAAAGTCTGACGGACAGTCAAAACAGAATTAGTCTCATGTAATATTTTCGTGTTTAATAAAAGAAGACTAATTACATTTTTAATTTGATGAAATACACTAACAGTTTATATAAAGTTTGATTTCAGCCGTAGCCCAAACTTAAAGATGCCTCAAGGCGAGATTCTTTCTAATCTTGTCTTGTTTTGAAAAGTATCGTCTAGTGATGTAAATTCTCGCTCTGTCTTAAAAGTATCAATATTTTCTAAATTGAAGGGCTGGTTGCAATAAGGGGACGAGCACGAGGTTTGGAAGGGATATTACCAGTCGGGTAGCAGTAACAAGCCTTGAGCTGCTCATTACTACCTGACTGAGATTATCCCTTCCAAACCTTGCGTTCGACTCCTTATTGCAGCCAGCCCTTCAATTCAGTGCATTTGAACCATTATGAAGACTTAGTTTATTAACGTATTTTTTGCACAAAGTGTGACGTTATAATGGTCCAAATGCTCTTAACAGAATTAACATAGGTCAGGAAATTCAAGAAAGAGTCATGGAAACTAAAATTAGTCAAGGAGAAGGAATTAAAGAAAGTAAATTGGAACTTGGTATATTTAAATCAGGGACCGTTACGAAAATTTAGTTTCTGATTCGACACCTATTTTTAATTAAAGTTTGCAAAATGAAAAAATCAAAGTTGATTTTTTTGTAGTATTAATAAGAGATAATTATAAATTTCACTATAAATGTTTAGTTTATTTTTTCCTAAATACGAGTCAAAAGAGTTCAGTGTATTTCTTTGATTTTCAATTTTTTATGCAATAAGAAATATTTTTGTATGTATGAGTCGTCGGATCTTATAACGATACATAAAATTTCAAGGCGATATTAGTTTTAGCGTTTTCTTCAAACACCTTAATTTCTTCTTTATAACTTCTGTTTTGATTAACCTCTAGTTTCTAATCATCCCAACTGACCATATATATAGAAACTTAATTAAAAACAAATAGATCAAATTTTCGTGAAATTTTTGTATTTTTTTTTTATTTTGCTATTTGAGAAGTCTAAGCAGCAGTTTAAAAATGTCGACAAGAGCTAAAATTAATTTTTGTTAAATTTTTTCCATTTTCTAAGAATGGGTAAGATACAAGATCAATATTTAAAAAAAAAATTTCATTGTCGAATGATGAAAATTGTTAGCAGTCTTTTTTTTTCTTGCACTTTAAACTCTCTAAATTTGAATTAGTAAAAATGTTTATTATTTTGAATTAGTGACTGACTTTTTGCTTTTGAATTAGTAAATTTTACTAATAAATTAGTAGAAATTACTATTTATTAGTAAAATTTACTAATTCGAAAGCAAAAAGTCAGTCACTAATTTAAATAAGTAAACATTTTTACTAATTCAAATTTAGGAAGTAACTAAAAAGTTTATTTAATAACAAATATTGAAAAATTTAAGAAGTATTACTTTTAGTTGTTGTACATATTTCGTCAATTAAAAACTTTGTTGGAAAAAACTGATAATTTCCTAAAAATTGATTTTAATTATTGCCTATACACAGAAAGAAAATCAATATTAGGTTTTATAAAAGTATATATATTTTACAATTGCTGGAAAAAATTTCAATATAAAATGTAGTAAAGTTTAAAAAACGTATGCCATATTAGGGCCACTCTACACTAAGTCACAATTTGAAAAGCAATAATCCCTCTTTAATTTCTGATAAAGAAAAAAAGTTTAATCGAAAATTGATCCAGTTACGAATTTGTTTTTTTTTTGACTTTATCACATTTTTCAGTTTTATAAAAACGGGCGGGTGAGAACGCTGGCTATTAAAAGTTTATCAAAAAAATTTGCAATGGTCACTATTTGAAGAGAGCAATTATTTCTCCTTCAATTCTGACATTGAAAAAAATGTAGTCGAAAATTCTTGCAGTTATAAATTTTTTTGAACTTTTTCAAATTATTCCGTTTTTCTACCAGGTACGAGCGGGTGGGAACGCTGGCTGTTAAATTTTATTATAAAAAATTCGCAATAGTCATAATTTGAAAAGCAACAATCCCTCTTTAATTTCTGATAAAAAAAAATTTGGTCAAAAATTGTTCTAGTTATGAATTTTTTTTAACTTTTTCACATTTTTCGGATTTTTGATAAGGCGGGTAAAACGCTCGCTATTATAAGTTTATCAACAAAGTTCGCAATGGTTACCATTTAAAGAGCAATAATTCCTCCTTAATTTCTAACATTGATCAAAAAATTTGGTTGAAAATTTATTTATTATTTTTAAAAAAATTGTTAACACGAATGTGTTATAAATTTTTTTTGGACTTTTTTCGAAACAAAATATTTCGAATCCAATTTTTTTTCTTACTCAGA